CAAAGAAGGAAGCACTTCAGAAGACTGGCATGGGCAAGTACATTTTGGACAATACCTCAGAAGCACAGGAAACACAAACAAACAATAGTCTTTTAGTTTTTAGCTCATTGTTTTTTTAGTTTATTTTTAGTTCATTTAGGTCATTTTTTAGTTTTTTAGTTCATTAGGCTTTGTGAAACGGCTTGTCAAATTGTTTCTGCACAGCAAAAGCAGCAGCAAAGTGAGCACACACAATATACAGAATGGAAGACAATGTCTGTACTAGACATCCGATCAGGGACTAACACCCAAAACATGCAAGCAACTCAACTCAACAGCCAGAAAGCAACTCAACGAAAATGTGGGTAGAAACCCTAAGCAGACATTTCTCAAAAGAAGACCCACAGATGTCCAACGGGGCATGAAAGAAGTGGCTGACATCACCGCCTGGGAGAGGAGAATGAAGCCACAGCGACCCACCCACCTTCTCCTGCCAGAGTGGCTGCTACCAAGGACTACAGACAGCAAGTGTGGCACAGACGTGGACAGAACAGATTCACCACAGACTGTGGGAAAGACAGGGAGCCAGTCGTTCTGACAGTGCCACAAGGGTCTTCCGAACATTAATGCAAAGCCATGCGGTGGCCCAGCAACCCACCACGGGGCGTGCAGCCATGGGAGCTGAGGCACAATGCTGAATAGCTGTCTGCACGTGCATGTCCCCCGAGCGCTGTCCACACTCAACACAGGGAAGAGATCTAGCATCCATCAGCGAGTGCATGGACAGAATGCCCAAAACAGACCACGAGCCAGTCATTCAGCAGTCGAAAGCCTGGCTGGCGCTCATAACAGTAAGAACGAGCCCAGAGTACGGGCCGGTAACTGAGACACGCCAGGCACTTCCTGAAGAAGACCAACACTGCACTTTATGTGAGACCTAAAAAGATGATTTCATAAGTAGAGAAAAAGACCTACTGTATAGCATGGTGACAGTTAATGACACACTGTATTCTCCATGAACAGAACCTTGTTACAGAACTAGTGCAAAAAGTTAAGTACAACACATGCAGGAAACTGACATGATTTTTTTTGGTGGTACTGGGGATTAAACTCAGGACCCTGCACTTGCCAGGCAAGCACTTACTGTACTGAGCTTTCTCCCCAGCCCCTAAACTGACATGATTCTAACGCAGCTCAAAATAGTTAAAACTCCACGTGTCATGGAATACTACCGACAGACAGGCATGGGGGCCACACCACGAGAGCCAGCTGCGCAGGAGGCTGCAGCGAGGCAGCAACTCTGAGCCTACCCTCGGCAACTCAGCAGGACATGCTTCAGGATGAACTGTCCCGGGCAGGCAAGGCCACAGCTCCTGACGGGACGCTCACCTAACACGTCGCGCCCTGGGCTGTCTCCAGCACACAGAACCAACAGAGCGCCCACAGCCGCCATGGACCTACGTGAGTGCTGCGCCAGCGAGCCCACTGGAACCTTGCACAGTGAGGACGTGCTTAGACATCGCGCTGCGCATGAAACACGCATTCAACTTTCCCCTGCCAATTTAGAAAAGATCAAAAATCGAGAAAACAGACTAGGGGCCGGGGAGATGGCTCAGTGGAATAAGCGCTTCCCTGGCAAACGCAAGGGCCTGAGTTCAAGCCCCAGTTCCGCCAAAAAAGAGAAAGAAACAGAGTACTGGGGTGGGTCTCAGAGCACCTGCTCTAAGGAGAGGTGGAGGCCGGGGCCGCGCGGGTGCGCCTGCATGTGCAGGCCGGCCGGAGCGGCACTTACAAAGCGGCAGGACGGCACAGCCGGCAAGGAACGCCAAAGGCGGAAGCAACAGAACCTCGTCACCGAGTCTGCGAAGAGCGTAAGCGAAAGCCGCGCCGAGAACTGGCGCGCCTCTGGCGCAGCGAAGTACTTAAAATTCTATCACTTAACACACTCAGTTTTGAAGAAGCGAAACCTACTTATATCCTTGTCAGGCTGGAAATGATGAACTTAAAATTTATCTGAATGTTGATCAAAGCATTTATGTTTTGAAATGTGTATTTACTTTCCTAAAAAATTTTACTCCTCTAAATAACAGAAATAACTTTCCTTAACCAAATCTTCTACATTTTCTGATGTATAAATAATGGAATACCCGCTAGAAGCCTTAATTTCAAAGGGTTGACAGCAAAATAGATGCTCACAGGTATCTGCTAAAGACACCAGCACATAGAATAGCCCAACACAAAGGCTTCAAGCAATACAATACTATACAATTAAATTCAATACAACATTGTATGCAAAATGCAAGATTCCAAATAGAATTAGGTTATTTAAAATAATGCATCTGACAGGGGGTGGTGGTGCATGCCTATCATCCCAGCACTGGGGAGGCTGAGGCAGGAGGATTTCCCGGAGAGGCCAGCCCAGGCCACATAGTCAGTCCAGGTCAGCCTGAAGTACAAAAAAAAAAAAAAAAACCACATCTGAGTTTAAGAACTAGTTATACAAAATATGCTACATAGTAAAGGTTTAACATAAGAAATCCATTGGGCCAGGGAGACAGCTCAGTGGCATAAGCACCTGACTGGCATGCGCAAGGTCCTGAGTTCGATTTCCATTACCACACACACAAAAAAAAGAAAAAGAAACAAAATCCATGAAAGGTCAGTGTCAAATGATTTTGTGTCACATCACGACTATTTCTGATGCAGTGGAATTTTAAAGGAATAGAATAACTTTTTTTTTTTTTTTTGGTACCCGAGATTTCTGTCTGAGATAGGGTCTTGCTATGCAGCTCAGGCTGGCCTTGAGCTCACTTTATAGCCGAGGCTGGTCTCAAATTCTCAATGGTTTTTCTGCCTCAGCCTCCCAAGTGTTGAATAGAGTAACTTTTAAGGGGCCAGAGGAATAGTGTACTGTAATCTAAATTAAATCATTACCACAAACAGACTTAAAGTTAACTGTAAAAATAACTTGAACATGTCTTTCTTTTTCTTTTTGGAGCAGGGGTGTTAAGACAGGGTCTCACTACGTAGGTCAGACTGGCTTTGACTATAACCCAGGCTGGCCTCAACCTTTCGGCATTCATCCTGCTTCAGCTTCCCAAGTACTGGGATTCCAGGCATGCACCACCGAGCCAAGCTTGTGTATTACTAACATAACTCCTTTTTCCATGTCAGCTAAGCTTACGCGAAAACTCTACGAAAGCAGTATATGTGACTACATCCGCTTTACCTATCACTCTGCACACTGGAGAGAGCACGCGTGAACCTTTTAACCTAAGGAATTTGAGGAGAGCATGCTACAGTACCGCTTTGGGAAACCTCTGCTCAAGTTTCTATCAATCAAGTTATTCACAAAAGTGGCCGGGGGATAAAAATACCCTCAGAACCCTTTTCTCCACTGCTTGAGTTATTAAAAAGCAAAACAAGTACCTGGCACAGATGTAAAATCCTCTGCACACGAGTGACAACTGTTCCAGTGATCGGAGGTCCAAGTCACTAGACACCACCCACCGGAAGATGTACATCAGGACCTCCATGGGCAGTGCTGCGGAAGCAAGCCACCTTCAGTGAGTCTCAGGCGTGCCCCTACTGTGGCAAGCACATACTCGGGGTGCCTATACAAGCCTAGAAACTCAAATTCATAAATACACTCACTACTGCTTGGAACTACTGAACTACTCAGCATTGATCATCTCCTAATATCAAGATGCAGATATACGAATTTTTTAGTATACAACAGATTTGAAGCTACTTATATGAAGTACCCTTTTCCTCTGCAACATTATTTTACCACCAAGACATGTTAAAAATAATTCACTGAAAAATAAAAAATAAATAAAGAAGGAGGGGCTGGGGAGATGGCTCAGTAGAATAAGCGCTTCTCTGGCAAGTGTTTAATCCCTTCTCTGAGTTTAATCCCTGGTTCCGCAAAAAAAAAAAATTACTGTATATATAATTTCATATTGTATTTAACATTAAGCTATTTTTATCTTTTTGAAAAATTTAAACTATTCTCATCTGAAATCATGGGACAACATTCAACGTGCTGGACACTGATGTCCAAACACAGGGCCCTCTCAGGACTGCTGTCCACCTGGCCTAGACAGCCCACGACTGTATTCCACTCCCCCCGGGAACCTCAGCAGCTCTCGACTCAACCTCACAGAGCAGTCTGGCATCCTTGAACAACCATATTACAAACGCTGCTCCACTTCAGATTTTTTTTTTTTTTTTTTTGGTACTGGGGATTGAACTCAGGGCCTTGTGCTTGCCAGGCAAGCGCTTATTCTACTGAGCCATCTCCCCGGCCCCCCACTTCAGATTTTGAAAAGCTTGCTAGTATAAATAAACAGCAATCATAGCCAGCATATTCTGAACTAGGCAGCAATTATTTGACAAATTATCCCAGTTGTGAAGCCTGGAAAAGTCCGTCTGAGATCAGAGCTTCTCAGGAAACCCCGAGTGCACACCGGATATGTGAGTCTGGCTGCTCTCCAGCTCGGGCTGACACAGTTTCAGCACAGACTCCTGGAACGTGAGCTGCTGCTGGAAGCAGGACAAGAGATCGGCCATCTTGCTGTCACCATCACTGTCTTCAATGCTGAAGAGGAGGAGGAGAGGTGAATCACTGAAGGGCCTCAACCACGAGCGCTCTGTTCAGAAATGGACTCCCCACAGCACATCCCATCTGCTCTAGAAAGCCACTGAAAAGCAAACTTATCCTGCCCTGCAAAGGCGTGTCACACAGTCTTCCTTCTTTCCTGCCGCCCGAGCCCAGGGCCTCACACGGGCTACCACGGAGCTGCGAGCCTCAGTCCTTTCTTGGGACAGCATCTAAGGTGTCCACGCTAGCTCAAACTTGCAATCTTCTCACCTCAGCCTCCCAAAGAGCTGGGATTACAGGTGTGTGTCACCAGGCCAGGCTCATACCAAGGTTTTCAGAAGGATAATTAGGATTTGGGGACTCAGGTGCTAAGGTTTATTAGTTTACTGTAAAGTGGACATTCATGAGTTATCTAAAAATGTTAAGTGGTTTGAAAATCTTATGTAAGTAAATAGTTCATGTGGTTTTTAACCCTTCCTAACTGGATAAAAATCAAACATAGATGTCGTATGAGGTACTGAACTTCCCAAGGATATTCTACTAGACGTGACCCAACACCAAACCTTTATGAAGAATACGCCTAAGACCTGCAGAAGTCTTATGGCCTATAAATCGCCTACTGACATGCAGAAATCCAGAGAGCGGTGCTACACCGTGATGATCAAAATTGTAAGACGGCTTCGATGAGGATGGACAGAGGCGGCTTGGACTAGCACAGCGAAAACCAAGTGCAGCCAGGCCAGGTGGCAGTTCGTGGCTGTCCTATCAAAACACTTCTCTAAAACACTTTCAAGATCTGGTATTAAGCAAATATCTGCATCCGTAAGAACTCTCACAGCACCTTTTCCTTGAGTGCTGGGACTGAGCCCAGGGCCACGTGCCTGGCAGGCAGGCTCCTACCACGGGCTTACGCGCCAACAACGCTTCTTTATGGTTCTGAGACGATGTTCCTTAATAGCACCTGGCACTTGCAAAACATGCCAAGAGCTGAGGCGAAGGGACTCTATCCAAATTTAAAGAAGGTTTAGAAAAAAAGCCCAAATGATTCATTTTGAGTACGAACTACCAATGCCATTAGCTCCAATTTGGCATAAATATTAGCTGAAAAGTTTAAGCAGGCAATTCACACTGATTTCACTGCATGTTTGTAATACAGCTTTCATACCTCTTGAATATTAATAGATATATGCTCAGATTAAAAACACTGGCAACAAGCATATGATAAATTCACAATTATTGCATGACAGAGTAGATATAATAGCTAGTCTCTCCTTATACAACTATTTCTCTATACAAGTATTTCTCAATACTTCCCTGCCCCCCCCCCTTTGAAATAGGGTCTACGTAGCACAGGCTGTCCTTGAGCTCCGGACCTCCCACCCCGGCCAAGTCCTGGGACTACAGGTGTGTACCGCCATGCCTGGCTGGCACTGCTCGCTTAAACCCGACATCTCCTCCATTCTGACACAGGTACTAACAAAATGGGACTTGGAGGACACAGGATGCTGGCCAAAACAATTTTGTAATTGTCTTGCAAACAGCTTTAATAGCAATGGTTTAAAAGTATGTTCTTTTCGGGGGCTGGGGAGATGGTTCAGTGGAATAAACGCTTCCCTGGCAAGCGCAAGGACCTGAGTTCAATCCCCGGTTCCGCAAAAAAAAAGTCTGACTTCAGGTTTTTCTCTTGCAATCCTAAA